ATCCCTGCACGAAATTAATTTTCGTTACGAAACGCGTAATCGGAAGTCAGTATTGATAGAGAGACCTGAAATAGTCGCCTGGCGTCGAAAATACCTACGCGAAATGATTGAATATAGGCGACAAAGCAGAAAAATCTATTATTTGGACGAGACATGGGTAAATGCAGGTCACACAGTTAAAAAAACCTGGATAGACAAAAACGTAGTGAGTAACCGACAGGCAAGCATTGAAGGTTTGTCAACAGGTCTTCGTGGACCGTCAGGGAAAGGTCAAAGATTGATCGTAACTCATATTGGTAGCGATAGTGGCTTTTTAGAAGAGTGTGACTTGATTTTCGTCTCTAAGAAAGGAGGTGATTACAATGACGAAATGAATGCCAGGTGCTTCGAAAGCTGGTACCAAGGGGTGCTTCAGCGAGTTGAGTCCAACTCTGTGATCGTCATGGATAATGCTTCCTACCATAGTCGTCGAGCCGAACGTGTACCGACTATGGGATCTCGAAAAAGTGACATGCTGCAATGGTTGCGCGAAAAAGGAATCCCGTTTGACGATTCATGTGTGAAAGCGGAATTGTATGAAAAAATTGAACAGCACAAACCTGACGTGACTGATGAGATGGCTCGTCAATGTGGTGTCACTGTGCTGCGGTTACCGCCCTACCACTGTGAACTGAACCCAATAGAGCTCATCTGGGCTCAAGTGAAGGGTTATATTGCGCGCCATAACACAACCTTCAAATTACCAGACGTTAAGGTTTTACTTGAGACTTCCATACAGCTAGTAACGCCCGAAGCTTGGCAGAATGCTATCCGTCATGTTGTGAAGGAAGAAACAAAAATGTGGCAGCTTGACCACCACATCGACACCATCATAGAGCCAGTTATAGTCAATTTCAACGAGGAAAGCGATAGCGACAGTTTATTACTGTCAGATGTAAGTGGAAGCGACGATGAATAAAGGTAATTCCCAAATTTTTGACTTACAATATGTTTTAAACCACCCTTTATTAAGCATGTGACAAATCTAGTTCACCCATGTTAAACATTCATACTCCGCCTATAAACAGCCGACTACTGGTAGTTAAGTGATGTTCACGTGAACATCGATGAGTCATTACAGTTTTAGATAGTTATAGTATAGTAAAATGATTAAATTTTCAGCTTGATTCGTCAACTGACTGCAGAGTCTGGATCAATAATGTGTTAAGTATCCACTATTTCTTATACACTCATTGACACGCCTGGGCATCGTGCTGAAAAGGTGGTCGATATCCTGTTGACGTATCTCATTCCATGCTACGGCAACTCCGTGAGTAAGAGCTGCTAATGTCTGTGGAGGGTGTTAAAAATTCAGGAGCCTGCGACCTATTATGTCCCAGACATGTTCAATTGGAGATAGGTCAGGCGATCGTGGTGGCCAAGGTAAACGGTTGATGCGATGTTGATCCATGAAAGTGTACGAAAACTGAATGCTTCTTTATCACCAAACAATACACGCAGCCACCACAAAAACTTAACAGAAAAGCCTGACTATTTTCTCACTTGTTGTTCATGGCAAAATAAATCGATATGCCAAAAATTCTTGAATTCTAACAAGCGTACGTAGGTATTTACGTTTTTTGTCACTCAGGATATTTCCATCAGTCATATTTAGAAAACACTCTCGCACAAAATTCTGTCAAATATGAACCAACACCTCAACAACTTTTCCACATTTTATTAAATTTTGATGGCAACCTTGGCTCCAAGTAAGACGTATCTTCATTTCAACTATTGTAAAATGTTTCTATTCAATGAAATGATCGTATTTGTCCAATAAACAACAACAACAGTTGATCTGTGATTTGTGCAAACAAATTCAAGATATCAGTAGAACTTTTTATTGTGATAAATAGTTGCGACGTTATTGATTGATTAAATTAAATTATTTCATTTCAATTAATATAGCACCATTCATTCGTCCATAATTTGTTGGAAGCCGAACATTAAGACAGATTTCTCTTGGGTAGGATTGAGCATTTATACATGCAAGGAGACATCGCTTGAGTCCCCAAGCAATAAATTTTAGGTAGCGTGTACAGTATTGAAGCATATACAACACGAATTGAGAGGATTGAACCCTATGTAGGAGCAAACAGAAAACATGGAGCTTAGCGAATTTGAATGAGATATGTCACGATCCACAGTGGTACGATAACCAAAATACCTGGCCAAAAGTCCTTAAAGCTTTTTTGCGTTTCAGTTAAAAGTTTGTTCAGTTACAGGAATGCATAATTCATCGTTTGATGACACTTACTAGTTGTATTCAGATGGCTCTGCATACGGAATTGTAGTGGAGTGAACTGTCACATCAAACGTGATAATAACAAAAAGGTCGTATCAAAAAAGTTTATAATCGAGTAATACCACGCTTCAAAATAACCAGCTGCATTGAGATTTACAAAACGAAGTCAGTGAACACATGACACCATACGACAACAATATGTAATTGATATTTTTTCTGTAATTTTTAGTGAATTACTGGATTCAAAACGAGTTTACAAGGATCGTCAATTTTATGTTTTTCGAATAGTAGTATGTTTATCGGACACCCAGCTATGAAATGTGGCAATTTCGGCAGTTATGTGACACTATACAAAATTATACATAATCTATTGTGTTTGGAAAAAAATTGTATCACAATCGAAAAAAGTTAGCTTTTTAAGAATCGATGTTTAATTCGTTATGATATGAAAACATCCGAAACTTAATTTTGAGCGTGATGAAAACTTTTTTGCAAACATAGCTACCGCATTAGATCCGCCATATTGATTTTTGAAAATCGAAATCAAATTTGTTGTTAGCGACCTTGAAAACATTTAAACCTCAATTCTAAGCTCAATCGAAACATTTTTTTTGCAAACATATGCATCATATTAGTTCCGTCATTTTGGTTTTCGAGAAATGTATATTACATTCTTTATCAGGAACTTCGAAAACTTGCAGGTGAAGGTTTTTGGTGAAATTTAGTGAATATTTCTAATGTAGACCATGTGCGATCTCTTTTTCTGTCTGTGAGACGTTTGATAAGCACGTTATCTCAGTACCGTCTGCATCGATTCTGCAGAAATTCGAGGAGGAATATGATTGCGAGTTTTGAACATTAAGGTACTAAAAATACTTAAGAAGAATTCATAGAACAAGGACATATGAGCAAATATCGATTAAACAACTAGGCACTAGAAAAATGCGGATAGTAGTTGTCTTGAAGAATAAAATGTAGGTCAGACGCGGTTAAAACTTCATGAGTGAACCTGTTGTGTGGCAGTTTTCACAGAACGTACGTCAAAATTATTGGATTGAATCCACAAGTGGACGGTATGTTCGGTAAAAAATCGAACATTAACTCAGGATGTCGGCAGTTCCAGCGCTGGATAAATTTACAGGCCTCGTTTTGTACTGAACTAAAAGAAATTATTGCCATCATTCGTGGTGAAATTGATGGTTTTATATCGGTAGTACATATTAGAGATGAGATATGTGATTGTGACCCGTTGTTGCGAGTATTTTTATCGGCTCATATTGCAGAAAGCTTGACGTGGAGCTTCATCCTACTTTGTAGTATGTCGCAATAAATAAGAATCTAGTATTAATTGCTTTTCCAATAATATGTTCTACGATACATACGCACACCATGGGGTATCTGCCTTCTACAAATTTGATGTGGTTCAAAATATCTCCTGTATTTGTGAGGTTACGTTTTAAAAATGAGACTACTGTAAAGCAAGCTTATACGTTGAGGCACATCAATATATCAGTTGAACTTAAACTATCATTTTTGTTTCATACTTAAACTCGGCGATAAGTCTTGTAATACATACAGGGTGACCAATAAGTACCACGACAAACTTAAGGACAAGGTAGGCTTTGGGCTGACCTCCCAAATAAAAACTTACCTATATAAAAGTGTCACCGTTTTTGAGATATTTTCTTAAATTTTTAAAAGACGAACCTTTTCATCTGTGGTCTTCAGCTGCTTGTACAAATAAGGTCATACTTTGTTCATTTTTTCTTTAAAATAATTCTAGATAGTTGCTTTATCATATACAAATGCAATGTACATAGTTAAAAGATATTAAGGAACCCTGATAAAATAAGGACTGTTTTGTGATATTGTTTCCTCAATTTTGATAAAATCATATCAGGAGCAGGTAATAATAATGAAGCTTTGTACTATTTAACATGTTTCTGATCAGTAACCAGTGTAACTTGAATTTAAATCCAATAATTACATTGTAGTGTGTGTCAGTCACTTACAAAAGCAGCTATCACTTTTTTCTATTCCAAATAGTACGTGTGGTGCCTTTCTGAAATCTGTATTTAATACCAATCTTTTTATATAATGCAGTTATAGCCCAGTACATTTTTTGTTTCACCACAGATGGTTAAAGTTGAGGAAAAAATATCAGGTTATAAATCCCAAAATAGTCCTTATTTGATCATGGTTCCTTAATATCTTTTAACTACATTGCATTTGTATATGATAAAGCAACTATCTAGAAGTATTTTACAGAATAAATGAACAAAGTATAACCTTATTTGTACATGCAGCTAAATACCACAGATGAAAATGTTAGTTTTTTCAAATTTAAAAGAAAAATCAATATCTCAAAATTGGTGACACTTTTATATAGGTAAGTTTTTGTTATTTGTTAGGTTAGTCCAAATAATACCTTCTCCTTAAGTTTGTCGTGGTACTTATTGGACACCCTGAATAAAAATATAGCAAATAAACAACCCAATATTATTATCTAACCACTAGATGGAGGTATAACGTATATTTATTTGTAGTTACAGTTTGAGTTAAGGGACCCCGCACCATGTCTATGTAAAAAGCAGGCCAGAAAGTGACTAAAGAACATCCATTTCAAATTATTTAGTTTCACAAAACTGATAATGCTTTATAGGTATATATAATCTAAAAAGTCACGGGAGAGTAGAATTATATTTGCACGTCTCACCTCATGAATAATACAGCGATTACAGCTAATATGTTCCATCTTGATCGCGTTTTCTGTTATCGTGCTGTATAGGTGGTTTTAATCAGTGCAATATGCGAAAAACCTTTTTGTAGGCTGGCTGAGAGCAAATACCAGAAAAGGCTTCAATAAAACCGAATCTAACAAATCTGCAATCAAATCAGGATAACAAAAATTATAAAAGTTCTCGAGATATGTTAGAAAGTTGATACAGATCAAATGTCAACAATTTGTAGATTAAAGATTGGGGGTAAGGTTCATTGCTCGTAGATTGTATAACATATGAGCGAAATGATACTGATAACTTGAGATTTTGAGATGATAGTATGAGTAAGAACACCAAATATATTTTTCGTAGTCGCGCCTCACGTAGTTTCTGCATTTATCGAAATTTGACAGTGGATGATTCATCGTATTTGTTTTCTCAGCTTATCGGGTCAGCCAGACACAAGAATTTAGTACATTTTATTGTATGGACATTCGCAAAGTTATCTAAATGTTTAACCAAAATGTTGCGACTAGCAAACACATATAACACAACTTTTTTGAGCAGTGTATAATTACACTATTTTATAATATAACAAAATAAATATACCCTGTTTTATTTTGTCTTTGGCAGACTGCGTGATATTTACTATCGGAGATGACTACAAAATGCCCCGCAGGAATCCTATAATTTGCATTCAGAATAAAAAAGAATTTGATATTTTTTAAAGCTGGTCTTAGTTGATTTTCGATAAAGTAATGAATTTTTCAGCATTGCTCTTTTTTGTATACAGAATACATTTTTCTGGTCATGCTAGACGAATACATAAAGCACATTATTAGGGTATGATTTCTAAAATATCACGAATGATACTTCATAGTTCACCACGGAATATATTTATTGCGATCTACCTTATATCAGTACAAAAAAATGTTCGAAAACAAAGATTAATGATGTATTATTTTAGTCAACGATAGAACTTTAAGTTCGACCTCGATACAGTTCATATGCAAATAAACTTGCTGCCTGCACTTTTAGAACTTATGTAATAACACGAACCGTGATGATACTCAAATTTGTATTGGCCGCTAGTGTCTAATGGGACTAAATAATAGATTTTGAATTTTATCAACAAGAGTGAATTCAAAACAAATTGACACATAGATGGTTATATCACCTTTACTCAATGGTTCGGAATTTTTTATGTATTTATTCAGAAATGTAAATGGTGTTTAAGTGAATGTGAAATTTAAGTTTTACTAATGGATATTGATAATGATTAACTGGGAGTTTAAATTTGCTTTGCGTGTTCAGGGGCGATGATATAAATTTTTTAAGTCTCATGCATTCAATGACGTAATGAGATGTTTGGAGCACACAATTCCCGGGTAATTGGTTATACTTGTGATTACGTAAACAGCTGATTTTTAATCGTACGAATAATGAATCGAAACTAGCTGTTGTTAGGACAAATATTCTGTCAAAAAAGTATTTTTGCCTGTTTGACTATCAAACTTTTTCTGTCGCTAGGCAATGGGTTTATAAATAAAATTGTTTGCCGAATTACAAATGTCAGTAGCTGCATGTTGTTGAAACTGTTCAGCGGAAAAATTTACTTAACTTTGGCTGGTGCGTGAGTCGATAAATGAAATTGGCGGGCAAATGTCGAAAAGTTGAAGCTTCCAGTGAAACATGTCCGAAAAGGTGCGTTGATGAACTTGTTCGGCACTTGGTGTTAATTTCGGCCGTAAGCCGGCCGGTGAGTGTATTTTAGGTTAAGAGCCGCCGATGTGGATAGAGCGTTGAAGCATTGGAGCAGTGGCTGTGGTGCGGGGATAGGTACCCAGGCCGGGTAAGGGGTAGACACTAAAAACATCAGTAGCGGTATCACCAACACCACTCGCGATTTCGTCATTACCGCCGACGAAGATATGTGTCGTGTATATGTGTGCCCGGCACGCGTGCTACTTAGGCAACGGTCGCGGTAATACTAAACGTAACCACACTGCCGAATACCGCGTGAAGTGTGGAGCGCGAGGAACCGACACAATATTCCGCTGCCAACTGCCGCAGTCTCACCGACAAGCCTCAGTCTACTACTATTGCTCTGGTTCTCATCTCAGACATGCATGCACGGAAAACTTCATTGACAACTCATTAGAACAATTTGAAACACCCTATTGGTCCTTCGGGCCGGATAATTTATAAAACTCATTTCGGTCCTTCGAGCCGCATAATTCATAAAACATGTTTTGGTCTCTCGAGTCAGATAATTTTGATCTCACGTAACACATAGTCCATAAAACGTATTCTGATTCTTCGAGGGGGATTACTCATAACTTTTGGTCATTCTAACCAGATAACTCATTAAAATTACTTTGGTCCTTCGAGCCTGTTAATTCATAAAACCTGTTTGGTCCTTCATCAGATTTGCTTTGGCCATTCTAACCGGATAATTCATAAAATTTATTTGATGATTCGAGCTGGATAATTCATATTTTGTCATTCGTGCTGAATAAATCATCAGACTGTGTAAATTAAACCATTGTATTATGTATTGCTCTCTAAATGGTACCTGTACTGTTGGGCAATAAATGCTTTATTATTAAATATATTTTTGCCTTACGAAGCAGAAAATTCATAAAACTTATTTTGGTCCTATGAACCAGATAATTCATAAAACTTATTTTGGTACTTTGAGCCGGACAATTCGTTAAGCTCATTTTGGTCCATTGAGCCCGATAATTCATGAAACGTACATATTTTGGTCCTAGGAACCAGATAGTTTACAAAACTTATTCTGGGCGTTCGAGCCCGATAAGTCATAATACTGATTTTGATCATTAGAGCAGGATAATTCATAAAACTTATTTTGGTCCTTCGAGCCGGATAATTCATATAACTTATCTTGGTTCTACAAACTAGGTAATCCATAAAAATTATTCGTCTCCTTCGAGCTCAATAATTCATTAAGCTTATTTTGGACCTTCGAGCCGGATAACTGATAGAACTGACATTAGTGGAATGTGTGACGGTGTATCTGTTAATCTACCCTTTCTTCTCCCTGTTGCAGTGTTTTGCTGTTAAATGATCTGAGGAACTAGCGCACCGACATCACAGACTTGCATACATAGAATGCTTTATTGGCAGATTCCGCTGCCAACTGCCGCAGTCTCACCGACAACCTCAGTCTACTACTATTTCTGTGGTTCTCATCTCAGACATGCATGCACGGAAAACTTCATTGACAACTCATTAGAACAATTTGAAACACCCTATTGGTCCTTCGTGCCGGATAATTCATAAAACTCATTTTGGTCCTTCGAGCCGCATAATTCATAAAACATGTTTTGGTCCCTCGAGTCAGATAATTTTGATCTCACGTAACAGATAATCCATAAAACGTATTCTGATTCTTCGAGTGGGATTACTCATAAATTTTGGTCATTCTAACCAGATAACTCATTAAAATTACTTTGGTCCTTCGAGCCTGATAATTCATAAAACCTGTTTGGTCCTTCGAGGCGGATTGTTCATCAGATTTGCTTTGGCCATTCTAACTAACTTATTTTTGTCATTCGTGCTGAATAAATCATTAAACATATTTTTGTCTTACAAAGCAGAAAATTCATAAAACTTATTTTGGTCCTATGAACCAGATTATTCATAAAACTTATTTTGGTACTTTGAGCCGGACAATTCGTTAAGCTCATTTTGGTCTGTTGAGCCCGATAATTCATGGAACGTAGATATTTTGGTCCTAGGAACCGGATATTTTATAAAACTTATTCTGGGCGTTCGAGCCCGATAATTCATAATACTTATTTTGATCATTAGAGCAGGATAATTCATAAAACTTATTTTGGTCCTTCGAGCCGGATAATTCATGTAACTTGTTTTGAACCTTCGTACCGGATAGTTCATGAAAACTCCCTCCAACCTTTGATATTTACAGTCGAATAACTGACAGAACCCACATAAACTAAGTGACATATAAATCCGAACACCTAGTTTAAATAGTTTTATTTCAATAAAATTTTGTATAAGTACTTAATGAAGCATAATAAGTAAATGATAAAAAATTCAAAATGATTGCACTGCTTTAAAGCCCTTTGACCTTTAATAATGTGTGGATGTACCCTGATGTGCTACGCATTTCTCCTACGCGCCTAGGCATGCTTCTGATCAGGTGGTCAATGTCCTCCTGTGGTATCTCATTCCAGGCAACCACCTCTCGAAGTGCTTCTAGAGTCTGAGGAGGACGTTGCAAATTGAGCAATCTCCTACCCATCATATCCCACACGTGCTCAATTGGGGATAAGTCGGGAGATCTTGGTGGCCATGGTAACAATGTGACATCATTATGTTGAAAGAAGTCTATTGTGACTCTTGCAACATGTGGTCGGACAATATCTTGTTGGAAAGCTGGATCTGCCAGGGTGTCAAGATAGGGTAAAAGATGGGGTTCTAGAACTTCGTGGATATAACGCTGCGCGTTCATGTTACCTCTGATGAAGATTAAAGGTGACCTGGAACCATAAGCTATAGCACCCCAAACCATAACTCCAACAGTGTGATGAACATGTCTTTCAACAAAAAACTGTGGATTCCTCCTTTCACCACGTCGCCTTCTAACCCTGGCACGACCATCGTGCATGCCTAAACAAAATCGAGACTCGTCACTAAAGACAATACTGTTCCATTCCTGATCCCAGAGTGACCGTTGTCTGCACCACTCAAGGCGATTACGTCGGTGTTCTCGAGTTAAAGGAAGGACCCAGTGTGGCCGGTATGAAAACAAGCCAAAACTTCTCATTCGTCGGTAAACACTTCGCATGCCAATAGGTCTTCCGTGTTCTGCAAACCATTCATTTGCAATGGACCTAGTAGTGGAGAAACGGTCCCTTAAGGCCAATAATCTTAGGCGGCGATCTTCACGGTCTGTTGTTCTACGGCAGCGTCCAGTGCCCCTTGCTCTTTGCGTACGGCCTTCTCGAAGCCATGCCTGACAACACCTAACCACAGTGTCTACACTTCTTTGCACTCTGACTGCAATTGCCCGAAAAGAAAGTCCAGCTTCCCGAAGTCCCACTATACGGCCGCTATCAAACTCACTAAATTGACAAAATCGTACAGGTCTCCGTACTCTAGGCATCGTAACCGATCGTAAAGGATGTCAAGAACCAAAATCCGCCAACGTTGATTCTTTACTGCGGCTGAAATATTCATCTTTAGAGCATTAGTGAATGAAAAAAAAGCAGTATAAAAACCGGAATGTCCAACTGATAAGGCTGAAAATTTTTTCACTTGTTATTTACAGTAAGATAAATATATTCACCAACTTTTATTAAAATAAAACCATTTAAACTGGGTGTTCGGATTTATATGTCACTTAGTATAGTATCTGTGGTACAATCCACCATTTCTTCTTTCAAAACTTTATTGACAGATCAGTTAACAGTTCGTTAGAACTTGAACTCTCAAATATCTTAGGCGGAACGGTGTGTGGGCCTTTTGGCACCTCGTGCCGTGTATTTCATGAAACTAATTTTGACCGTGCCGTATAATTTATGAAACTGATTTTGGTCCTTTGTACCGGATGGTTCATGAAACCGCACTCCAAGCTTTTGACCATTGGAGCATAATCTCAGTAACTACTGCATCGACGACACACGCTTGCGTGCATCAAAAGTTTTATTGGCAGATCGTCTGACAGCTCATTAAAACAGCTTGAACTTTTTCAAATATCTTACACGGAAGAATGAGTGGACCTTTTGGCCATTCGTGCCGTATATTCCATGAAACTTATTTTGAGGATAATTAATGAAACTTATTTTTTGAGCCTAGTCATTCAAAGAACTTATTTGTCACTCGTACCGGATAATTCACAGAACTTATATCAATATGTTGTAATATTTTTGACAACAAACAAAAGTACTGAGTGAGGAATAACCGAAAATTTCAAATAAACAAATTACAATCTTAGAAGTATAATATAAATCAAAAATTGCACGGACTCAGATAGGAACATATTGGACATCCTCTCGTTTGATCCATAACTTTTGGGACACCCTGTATAATAACGCACCTGAAAGTAGTACAAATACTCATTTGCTTATGCTTCTATAATGTATGGTTTCTATTTTCTTAAATGATTCACAAATTTTGCAAATCAAATGCTGCTTGGTAGTCGTTACATTACCAATTGTTTTGCCAGCTAAAAATCAAGTAAAATGTTCAGAAATGAGCATGACGACTACTGTTTTATTTCCCACAACGTAAAGATACTAGAATAGAATTTCATTCTATAAATAAAAAAATATCGGAAATGTCCATGTTTTGTACATGTTCCGCATATGCTACTTCGTCTATACAGTGTGTGTCATTGGAGAGGGAAATATTTTAACCGTGGAGAGGACGTATCACCTATTTATAATTTTATCTTTCTTTGCCCATTAGTATCGCAATCTATTCGGTCCATAGTATCGTTGCAACGGTAGCTGAGGTTTCGCACTGATATAATCGCTTATAGACAGACTGATGGAGATGGGAGATTTAGATTTTCATGATGAAGACGTCAGAAATGATCCAAAAATATTATACCTGGTGTCCAGTGGGTAAGTTCACACTTCAAATTTGAATTACGCGGTAACCGTATACGCGAGGAAGTGGGGAGAGGTCTTGATCGACGCGTTCGGTGTGCGGGTTAAATAGTCACAATGGAACGTTGGACCGGAGCGCAACGTACTTTTGTTATCGAGGCATACTTTAAGAGTGGTGATTCATACGCAGCTGCCCGGAATTTTTTTACACGATACAACATTCGCCGACCAAGAGATGGCCCAAGTAAGAGCCTATTGTAGGAACAGAACGTCGATTTGACAGGATGGAGCCACTGCTCATACTTCCAGAGAATCGATGGACACTTTTTCCTCAAAAAGTTATATCAAAGTTAGGAGACATTCACTGGCCTCAAA